ATATATATAAACATATAAACATATATATACATAAACATATACATATACATACATACATACATATACACACACATATATACACACATTTATGTCATTATGTAATATATATATATATATATATATATATATATATATATATATATATATATATATAGAGAGAGAGAGAGAGAGTGAGAGAGAGAGAGAGAGGGAGGGAGAGACAGAGAAAAAGACAATCAATAATAGAGGAAGCACTTTCTTCAAAATGAAGTAGCGGCCGACCTCCGCGAATGTACGTTCAAGACATTGAAGATGCATTGACTTTGAAAGCACACTGGGCTGAGAAGATAATTTACACAGACGGTTCAGTGTCAAGAGACAAAAGACGTGCTTGGGGCTTTTTAGCAAAAGTTAATGGTCGACGTTTGGTGTAGCAGAGCCTAACATATGATATCACAACATCCAGCTTAAGAATGGAGGTGGAGGCGGTCACTGCAGCTTTCGGCTGGCTAGAGAACACGACACACACACACATTGAAATTGTAACTGATTCAGAAAGCATGCTGAGGAAGATCATATATGCTTCGTGCAGAGTGGCATATTCGCTGCGGAGGACACGATAGTGTTGTATATTTTTTTCACCGGGTCACGCCGGTGTGTGGGGAAATGAACAGGCGGACAGATGGCTGGCTCTTCACAACTTGGTGGAATACTGCTACAGATAGGGAGACGTGGTTAGTGCCTTGTGGGAGAGCGTGTAGATGCGGAGGAGAGAGATCACCACAGAGATTGAGCAGACGAGAGTTCTGGCAGAAGCTCAATCAGAGGAAAGGCAAGACGGACTTTCTCAGAAAATGAAGTATTAGTATCCGACCTCAGCGCTAAATGTGAGTTCAAGCGCTTATGGGAATGTCTGAAGATGTGATGTGTTCTGTGAAAGCACACTGGGCTAGAGAAGTATACAAGCATATATAGTTGACACAGACGCATTAGTAATTCTGAATAAGCGAAGTGCATGGGCATTCAGAGTGAGCTCAAGTGACAAAACCATCAAGGTGATGAATGGCTTTTCTTTTTATAGCCCACCGTGGACACTGTGACTAACCTGCATTAGCGTGGTTTAGTACGCAAGAGTGCCCACATGCTTTCATACCTAGTGACTCGATTATTATGCTTAATAAAATCCAGGACTGGTTCACCGGACAAGAATGGATTGCAAAACTAAGCACTTCGCGAATGTCTGCCCTAACCTTCATCTTTGTATCAGGTCATGTGGGTGTTCAAGGGAACGAGCATGCAGATGATTTTACAAACTACGGTTGCTATTGATGGTCCAGTACTAGACAGAAGCAACACAATGCCATGCGCTGCACTTACAGTGACGACGAGCACGCTAAAGAGCATGACTCCGTACCCCTGTCTAGGCTGATGGACATGGGGGTGCAACCTGGAGCTGCAAGAATTGAACATTTCATTAAAGGGGAGAAGATGTTTCATTAATCAACACAGCATTGCAGATTGATATAAGATTTTATTACAGTGGGACATCTGGGAGGAAGGCGAGAGAAAAATCAAGAAAGAGATGGATGAATAGTGTAGCCGAAACCTATAAAAAGGTGAACAAATCCATCACTCAAGCCATCTGAGAAGGACAAGACAAATGCAGAAAACCAGGACACTGGGCTACAGCCTGGTATCAGTGAGACGACACAAGAAGAAGAAAGAAGAAGGAAGCATAGACAAGAATGACTCCTGCACTGCTATATCTCATTTTTATCAATAATCACAGCTCAAGTGATGGGATAGTGTGAAGGTACTTTTGGGTACACGGTGGCCAGATGGCTTTACCCTCTGATACCCACAAACTACGTATAGTGACTGGCAATATTTGACCGTCCTCTATGCAGTCACATATATAAATTCACAAACAGTAGCGAGCGTAAACTCAACTTCAGTTTGAATTTGAATAACAAACACGAATTAACTCTATTCCTTACGTCCTTCTTAGGACGTTATTTTTTGTTATTTGAAGCCCCACTCTGGCTTTTGCCAGGGGCCGCAATATAGGCAGGTCATCATTATGGCCAAATGTCTGAACGCGGTTTCTGGGACCTCTCCACGGTGATCCTCATCCGCATGGTGGCACTTTGTGTCATCGGGTGTTTATCGCTTGTTTGATGTCCTGGTGGGGTAAAAAGCCAATCCAGCCAAGCCAACAAACACGAACAAAACGTGAACGTTGTGGCTATGGAGTCTTCGTCAGCACATACACAAATTAGACAATACTACACAATAGCACTTATTTTCGTATCTCGATGTAGATAGGTCGATGTCTAGCCAATAGACTGGCCGGAACACGTGGGAAAAATAAATATTCCGGGGAAAGCCAGAGGCCGGAACTCGAGAATAAAATGAAACTGTGTAGACAGTTCAGTCCCCTGGAATTCTAGTTTATTAAGCTGTACTGGCAGTTTAGTCCACTGGGCGCCAGAGTTCTCAAAGTGTATATAAAGCGATTTTCAAGAGACTTACGAACTCTGTCGCTGGAGTGGGTTGGATTGAATGGCTGTCACCTTTTTGTCGTGGACACCTTGGTGGTCCTAGGAATTGAAATGAAATAGTTTCAGGGCACTGTTCTGCACATCCAAAAGATGTGCTGAACCTGTCACCCAGTCGTAAACCCGTTTCACAAATGTGTTGAACGCCACATCTCTTGCAGTTGATGGCGTAAATGACGTTGTGGCTTAGGCAAAAGAATTCTTCACGTATGTGACGGTGGCATTCGGGAATTCCATGCTGGTGCCCTGAAACGCATATGGATAGTCCAGCATACAGGTCTGTGGCAAGACATGTTCCGGTTACCCACGACGTCGAAAGAAATCCAACATTTCTAGGTCCGTGTTAAATTCGTCGTTCTCCTGGCATAATCTGCATAATCAGCATAATCAGGCCGTAATAACCGCCGCCACAATTATATTTTTACACATCGGTTATGCACGGGTATTCATTTGACCAAGGCTAATTCATCTACATGATTAGTGTACAGATATATTAATGAATATAAGGGGACATTCTTTACCAGAATCAAGATGTACATTAACACTAAGATTACCCCTTTAATTAGAGTATAATGTCCACCTGAAACTGACCGATCTCCTACCCGCACAAGTACAACTTACCCATACTCTCTTGAAACTCCCGGGGGAATAGGGTAAATTTAAATGCAGATATATGACAACTGACAGAGAATACTTTTTGTCCGTCTCCTGGCTTCGGCAGTTACTTCGAGAATACGCTAAGATTCAAACAGTCCCCAAACTAGAGGCTGAAATGATTATTTTCGCCAAGATAGGCGGTGTTTCTACTAAAAAAATATGGCTTTGCCACTAATGAACATCACTTACCTATGAGTGAATTCACAATATCACTCACTCTCAATAGATTAATGATTTAATAAGATTCAGTTTCATACATCCTGACCCATAGCTATACTGGAATAGTTTATATTCAAACTGCGTTAATTTGCATAGTGGGGTACAGATTATGTACTGAACCAAGTCACGGAGGAGTGTTTTGCTGGCTACGTGACAGTCATCAGTCGGTTTGTACTTTGGGAAATTGTGAAGAGGAGATTAAAGCATCAGTGGATCTGTCCGGAGCAATGTGATGATAATCCTTACTAATAACTAAGTATACAACCAGCATTTCCAGAAGAGTTCTTGGCCAGGTGTATGATAGACCTTGCTAATGATGACATCCTGTCTAAGAGTTTTTAGTTGACCAGCCATCATCTTTGGCAAGCAGATTTTCATTCCCAGGGCAGACGGGTTATTCAGAAAACATGTCTGGTAGTTCTCGCAAACTGGCACGAGAGTCGTTAGCCGGGCGGTGGAAGAATGTGTGGTGTCATCGCATGTTATTTCAGAAGTCAGCAGTTTATACACTGTAGATAACCTTAATTGGGGAGACGACCACCTTTTTTTTTTAAGTTGACCACGCGTTTAGCTCACTTTCTCCTGCAACAGGGGACGATCATCTCCTTTCGATGACAGGTTAGATTCTCAGAGTTGTAACTATATATTTCGAGTTGTATGTGTATAGAAGCGTGTGTCACCGGGACCCTAACGGGAAGCAAAGAATAGTGATACTGCACAGTGTAGGGTTTGGCTTGAGGTTGGCTACCTCTTCCTGTAAAAACCATAGCCACAAAAACTAACCAACCATGGATAAGTCAAAAAGCGAAGCAAGTAAATCCCAGAACGACTTGAAGTGATACCGTTACATGTTAAAGCAATATTTTAATGGAGGCGCTTGGCTAATAAGAGGGGACCCGGGTTCGAATCCTTGGTTAGTTGGTGATTTTTTTCTGTTTGGGGAAAAACGAAGAACTGAACTGCACAGTCCATGGCGACAGCGCTAGACAGGCGGCCCTAAATCCTCAATCTTAAAAATCCCTCCCCCTCCCTCCCCCCCCCCCCGCATCCCCTGCTCCGCAAAAGTGGTAAACACAGACAGAAATGCAACACGTTTTAGCCTTATTTGAGTGCAAACTTTACTGTAAGTACCAGCTCCTGTTTTATACATTTTGTTATGGTAACCGCTTCCTTTTCTCCTCTATGACAATTTGTTATGTCGCCATTTAAACTTTCACCAACATTATCTGGATGCATTTTATTCGGATCTTAGTTACATTATTAGGCTTTTAGCTTTCTACAATGCATATTATTTCCTTTTTTTTTTTCTATTTCTTTCATCTACATCTATAAACACAGATCAATGCCACCACTGCTTCAGTAACTTCAAGGAGCCCCAACCAATTCCCCCATTATTGAAAAGCCAGCCTGGCAAACAGCTGAATGGTAAACAAATCTATTTCTGCCACAGAAGAGTTCTTGGAACCAAATTGGAAGAGGCAGAAGTTGACAGCGCGGTACAAGACAGTCAGTGGTTATTGTCTCTTGTGTCGTGATTGATTGTGTTGGATGTTTACTATTAATTTGAATATATTTCTGACGTAGGAGATGCCTGTTATTGAAATACAACACGTAGTATCCTGCAGCAGTGCTGATAAGGTATGCAATGTTTACTTTTAATTCCGATTTTTATGATTTTATTTTCGCGACAGTCTCACTTTTATGTCTTTTAACTACTTAAACTTAAACTACCCAACTAAACTACTATCTATATCTTTTCGGTTAGGCGTTGCGAACGAGCTTAATAATGTCAGGGTGCCGGGTTCGATCCCAGCGGCGGGCCTTGCGCATTGTGTTGGTTCCTGGTTTCGACAAAAAAGAAGCCGACCCGACTGTCCAGAAGCAGTGGCCAACTATTCTGGAGTGGACGTAAAATAAACTTGCCACAACAGCCAAGCAATGCTGGGGTTGGTTCTGCAATGTCCAGTAAAGGATACGCAACTAACCTTTACAGTTTTAACTAAACTACTATCTATATCTTGTCGGTTAGGCGTTGCGAACGAGCTTCGTAATGCCGGGGTGTCTGTTTCGATCCCAGCGGCGGGCCTTGTGCCTTGCGTTGGTGCCGACAGTCGAGATGGCAATGGCAAACTACTGGAGTGGACGTAAAATTGCCTAGAAAAACCACAACAGCCAAGCAATGCTGGGGTTGGTTCTGCAATGTCCTGTAAACGCAACTAACTTAACTATATCTTACAGTCAGTGAGGTTGAACTTGGAGGTAGGTACTAGTACTATTACAGTATTACTACGAAATAATGAATTTACTACTTTAGTTTGAATTTACTAATGCCTAATACTATTAGTAAATGTAGTAATAGTAATTATAATAGTAAAACCATGAAACGATATCAATTCAAATGAGAGTGTCTTTATAATGTATGGCCCCCTCGCCCTCTTTCCTTTTTTCCCCTTACCACTTTTCCAGTTGTCACACACAGATGTTTTCCACTTCTCACCACTTTTCCAGAGAATGTATATTGTTTCCTTTTTGATATTGCTAATAAATTCTCTATGAAATAATTCTTGTTCAGTATATCTTTTATCTACCCACGGAGTTCGTATAATTTGTTCACATGTCTGTATCTTCCCCATTACATCTTAAATGGCTTCATGCTGTGCCGTTCTGTGAGACTACATCTATACATGGCTTCAGGCTGTGCCGTAACTACGGAATATAGAAAAGAATATAAATGTAGTTTTAAAATACTTACATATTATCATTTATACCAGTGAAACAGTATTTACTAAACCTCGATAGTTGTTGTTATTGTGTAGCCACAATCTTCACAATTAACTTTTTTCTCCTGCTTTAAAATAATGCTAGACTTATTAACTGAGGAAAATCACAGACAATTACTGTTAAACACCCTGCTCTTCAGTTTAATTATGAGAACTATATAATTGTTACTGTATACTTCTCATAACTAAACATATATGCAGGTTGTTTAAATCTCTGACATCGTTATAATTTTTCTCCATGTGGGTTCCGTGGCCCTATTATAGGGAAAACAAGAATAGACCCACTGCCTACCCAAAAGCATGTCGTAAGAGTTGACTAAATGGGAGCTTCCTTCGAAGTCATACAAATAAGTCAGATCTGTAAAACGGATGCACACACAAGACTCAGGTTCTGGAACAGGACTGCAGTCCAGGAGTGGATGAACAACCAGAACTTCCCGCTGGAGTTTACAGCTGGTGAACTAGAAGAAGACAATGAAGTTATAATTATTTTTAACCCATTGTAACAGTCTTGACTGAATCCAGCTACTTAGTGTTCTTATGTCACCACCAAGTCAGCTCAAGATCTCATGTTTACCCTGAAGCTCAGTGTTCAGGCCTGCTGGATGTGGACACAGGTTGTTTACCCTGAAGCTCAGTGGTCAGGCCTGCTGGATGTGGACACATGTTGTTTCACATGAAGACACTGGTATGAGCCAGACAACTCTCTGTCAGTCTTTTCATGCTGGGCAGATTCCAGAACATGACCTGCAAGACTCCTCTCCTGTAGGAGCTGTCCTTGGGACAGTATTCCTGTGGTTCTTCAGTGGATGACAACAGCAGGATGCAAGAGCAGTGTAAACCACATTTTTTATAGTAATGTGTACTTTAGGCATATACGGCTAGACCTGTATTTTATAGACCAATTGGCACTTGGTGGATGATTTAGTCGGTGCCATGTCAGCCACTTTACTTCCCGGGTCTTTTACCTGGTACCCATTTGAGGTTTGGCTGACCTGGAATGTAGATTATGGTCTTGTAATTATTTCAGTATGGAAAGAAAGTGTTCTCTGCAGTAGGATATTGCAGTGCAACATAAAAAAACATTTATTAAACAAAGCTATACCATATTTGATGATGAACCATACAAGGCAGCCTCAGAAGAGGAGATGGCCTAGAACAAGAGGCAGACCAACAACAATATAGAAAGATAACATCTGACAAATTCTACAACAACACAGTGTGTCTGGTCGAGGCAGCCAAAGGAGGAAGATGCAGAATAGTATATCTCCATCGACACCTGAAGAGGTACAAGAGGAACCTAAACAAAACAAAATACTGTATTCGTTTTCCTTTGTGTTATCATATTACCTTTATTGTTAATGCTGCGTCTATTATAGAACAATCCTGCTGAAAATCTTCTCAAAGCAGATGGTGCCCGCAAATGGAAATGTGCCAGTCCGGGAGAGAAGAGCATTTCTTGTGTTTTACAGGTCTGTTAAACATGTTTATCTATGCCTTTAGGGAGGATACGGGGGGGGGGGGGGGCTAGTGTGTTCAAAAGATCAGTTATACATGTGTCTATGCCTTTGATGGAGAAAAGTGGGGGGGGGGGGGGTATTACTTGTGTTCTAAGGGTCCATTTTACTATATCTGTGAATGTGACGGTGTGATCATTTATACTGTATGCCAGATGGTCATACCCAAAAATTGAGTATCAATAGGCATTTAAAGCCTTTTTGCACTAAGTTCCGGTGCGGTTCAGTTCACCGTAAATATCACGTTTCTCACTTCCCTATAGTGACTTGTTAACTAAAACATCATTTAGGGGATTCTCCTTTGAGCCTATTAGTTTTTTTAAATGCCAAGTTGAGGTCAAATTTTATCGTAAGCCTCGGTGATAGAGGTCACGTGGTCACGGCATGAGTTACCTATGCAAATGTTTCAAACCCTGAGCAATGTACTCTATTTAAATCTTCACCCTGTTCTTGTTTTTTGTTATTCCCTTCATAGATTTCAACAACAAAAAGAAGTGGGGGAGGGGGGTGGGAGAGAAAAACATGCAACAAATTTATTAGTAGCCTGTGTAAAATTATTATAATTTTTTTTTTTTTTTGTTTTTGAATGCAAACAGGATTATGACCAGTTTTTTTTTCTTTCTATAAATGTTTCCAGTGTGAGAGGGTTAACAATAATAATTGCAAAAAAAAAATTTGAGGTTCACATCTACACTTCAAAGTTAGGTGCACAGAAAAAATAAAAATGTTGGGAATACACAACACTTATGGCAGGACAAGGTTTCTGATACTAAAAAGTGCAGGTGTACTGAAAGGAATCATCTGGAACTCTGGCGAGGGAGACTACTTCAGCAGGCAGGAAAAATAACAACGCACCCAACAAAAAACTCCTGCCTCATTCATTGGAGGCTTTCTGTTCAGCGTACACTACAACCTGTTGTTAGATGTGTCCAGTGTGGGTTATAGGGTCCTGTTGAACACATCATCCATCAAGTGCCAGTTGGTCTGTAATATGTGGGTCTAGCAATGTATCCCCAGTGTGCCAAAGGTATGAAGAGAGTCCTTTTTAATTTTTAATGCAGGCTTTTATTAAGCAGAGAGAAGGATCCTTTTACACACCTCCAGACGTATTGGGCGTATAGTGCTACACCTTTATTTTCTAGACCAGTCAGTACTCAGAGGGGGAATGTGGTCATCATCACACCTGCTGTCTTTACTTCCCAGGACATTACCTGGTACCTGTTTAAGGCTGAGTTCACCTGGGAGCCAAGGTTATTTTGAACAAGAAAAAAAAAATCCAGCTGCATTTGAATTTAAACTCATGACCATCGGATCCGCAGGCAGGTGTCTAGCCGCTACACCGTAGCTGCTCCCATTATTATTATTTCTCTTTTGTAATTTAAGCCAGTGTTTGTAAAGCTACCCTTTTAATTGACCGATAGAATATATTTCAATATTTAAAATTTGTTGGTAGAAATTCTGTTGATGTTTGCAAATTTAGAGCAGTATGTGCAAACCTTGATGTTTATTTCTTCATGTCTTTTCCACAGTTCTCCAAATCATCACAGATCCATTCCATTGACATCGGCAATGAAGGTTCTGCATTTGTGGAGGTACTTGTGGGCAAAGCCACTGCAGCGTCTGATCAAGACTTTGAGGTAATGCATCTCCTCATGCTTGTTTCTGTTCTTCTGTTTCTTCATCTTTCATTCTCAGTTTGTATTTTTTATATTAACTGGTTCGTAAGGTGTGATGTAATCTCTCTGTATATTTCTTGATCTCCTGTCTATAATTTATCCCTACAGATTAATCCATACGTCTTAATTGTATCCATGTGTCTGTTTCCTTATGTTTATTTTCCACCTGTCATTATGTGTTATAGAAAACAGTTCTTCATTTGGTTATTTTGTTAGTCACTAATAACGTCCAAATTGATGTCTCTTCCATGTTCTCGGTAAATTATTTTTAATATATTTTTTTTAAAACATTATTTGTAGCATTGTAAATTGTATTTTTTCACCGTTTGTTTGTATAATGATTCCAGGTTTTGTTGGTAGCATCAGCATTCATGAGTCCACTGGAGAGCCGCAATGGCACCAACAAAAACGCAGTCCGAATGTTTGGTCCGGAGAAACTGAACACTGTAACTGCCAGCCAGAAGTGGGATCGCGTCAAAATTGTGTGCACTCAGCCTTTCTCAAAGGTTAGGGGAGGCTCCAGTAGATTTCTGTCATTTTGTGTCATCATCATCATCCGGTAACACTGTGTGTTATAGGGTTACCAGTTGCTGTTGACTGTCTGATCAACTCCTTCAGCCATTTATAGTCAGGTTCAGTGGACTTTATGGTTGCATTCTCAAGGTCTGTCCAGCCAGTCAAGTTCTGTATCCATGTCATTCTTGGTCTTCCTCTTCTCCTGTACTGAGCCTTGTAGTTTGTAACAGTTGTTTGATGTATTCGTTTATTGTTTCTAAGATGTCAGGTGCAATGGACTTCATGGTTGTATACCTAAGGCTTGCACAGTCAGTCGAGTGTTCTATCTAGTTCTCTGTCTAGTTCTCTATCTAGTCTTCTTGGTCTGCCTCTCCTCCTCTTCCCCTCTGCTGAGCCCTATAATTTGTACAGGCGTTCAATGTATTTATTTATTTTTTCTAAGATATCAGATGAATAGAGTGGACATGGCATGCTGAGGTGCTGGACTACACGTGTTGATACACCAGGACCAGGCTACAGACTGGTCACTGCTTACACCTCTCTGCGGTCATCCTAGAAACAGGTTATCTGCCGGGAGCCTAGCCAACATTGACATGGTCAACATTTCCTTGAAGTCCAGAGTGTATCCACCTGAGAGGCAAGGAACCAAGTTTTTACACACATGAAAAGTCAGGTCTGACAGGTAGATATGCTAACAACACTCAAGTCCCGGAACAAAGCCTAACTCCAGAAGTAAACTGGCATATTTCACATTAATGAAACAGTTGCGTTTAATCAGCTTTTGTTATTCGGGATACAAAAGACAAGAATATTAACAAGTTAACGTAATCTTAAATTTAAAAATTAGAACTACAATTTGTTAATCAATTAACATAATTGCAAATAATATGTGGTGTTGGGCTGTAATTTAGAATTTTAATATGTTTCTTGTTCTCCTTATTGTTCACTAGTTATTCCAGTATGGGCTTTCATTCATCAAGTTCCATTCTCCACCAGAAACAGATAACGGAGAGGTAAATTATCACAGTCTCTCTATCCGAGTAGTTTAAAGCTCAAATCAGTCAGTCACAGTTGAAAACATTGCCCCTGGTTTTATCCTATGTGGCTCGGACTCTCTGCAGAATGGCTAGCCGCATGCTGAGAGTGCGTCAACACTGTAGCTCTGGTGACGTCCCCAGGGTTCTCCGTAAAAATTGCACTCATAAACTGAATTTCAGAGCTGGAGTCAAACAGCTTAAGCACTTCACCACGGAGACCTCCTAAGAGCTTAAATGTTGATGAGAAAATAAATAACTTAATTTATACATGGGCAGATTGGTTTAAAAGGGAGAAAAAAATTAAATATTTGTTTAAAGTCCTAAAGGTTTTTGGGACAGGTGTCCATACAGAAAGTCATATGCGTCAAGAGCCTTTGTTGGCTGGCCTGAACGATCATGCCTTTTCACAACCAGCTGTCTCAAACTACATGTATTATTTCAAATCCTGACACTCGTCCCTGCTATGACAAAAGGTTGTCTAGAATCTTGTTGCATTGTCTTCATCTTCTTTTTTTCCTGCATATCTTTCCAGTGGGCTTACATGTTTGGCTTCCCTCTTCTCATAACCTGGCCAAAAATAAAGGCTGTCTTTTTTTTTAGGTTTGTCTTCGTAATCAAAGCACTTTAAACTATGTCTAGCCTCTATCTAGGCTAGTGTTTGGTTGTCTACGTACCCCAGGGGGTCAAATTTAGGGGTCTGTAATATCATTCAGCAGCTTCTATGGCTAAGATGTTGCGAACATGCTTCCTAATTCCTAGATGCTGGGTTCAGTCCCAGCTGCTGGCTGTTTGGCAGCAGATTGCCTTGAGTTGGTTTTGACAGTGGTAGTGAGACCCGATCATTCAGCAAGCAGTGGCAAACCGCTGGGTGTATCTCAATGTAATCTCTGTTCATAAAATTGTGTTTGAATATATCACAGTAAAATTTATGTTTATAAAATTTTGTTTGAGTATATCACAGTATTATGTTGACCACATCACCCACCAGTTGCCAGTTGGTCTACCCCTGTATACCCCGTACGCCCTAAGGTGTGGAAATGGGTCCTTTTTATATCACAGTAAAGTTTCTGCTCATTAAATGTTTGTTGAGTATTTCTCAGTACAGCTTTCATTAAACATTGTTGAAGTATCTCTCAGTTCATTAAATATTGTTGAAGTATCTCTCAGTTCATTAAATATTGTTTTAGTATCTCTCAGTTCATTAAATATTGTTTAAGTATCTCTCAGTTCATTAAATATTGTTTAAGTATCTCTCAGTTCATTAAATATTGTTCAAGTATATCCCAGTACAGATTGTGTTAATAAAATATTGTTCAAGTATATCTCAGTACAGATTATGTTAATTAAATATTGTTCAAGTATATCCCAGTACAGATTATGTTAATTAAATATTGTTCAAGTATATCCCAGTACAGATTATGTTAATTAAATATTGTTTGAGTATATCACTTTCATTTACTTGTTAATTTCAGACACAAGTGAAGAAGTTTGGAGCATTTGCAGTGAAAGATGATGAAGATGATGCTGCTGATGACATCAGAGTTGGCAGCATGTTTGCAAACAGATTACACAAAGATGTCAGCCCAGCACCAAAACCGACAGGTTGTCCTCTATCACTGTCACTCACACTCGCTCAAGGACACACATATATGTATCCAGTGCAGTCTCCGAAAACAGTTTTAATCCGTTTCATGACTGAGATTGTGTTGGTGAATAATGCATGTCCTGAAACTATTTTCTCCATAAATATTATTGTAAATAATTATAATTCATTCCAACCCTCCAGAAATCAAAAATAAAATGGCGTTTTTCATTTCGTTAATGGAGAAAATGTTTGCCACTGCTTTTTTTAAATTTTATTTTGCTGGCAGCAGAAATTGAGATAACTTCCGACCAAGATGCTGCAGTCCATCGTCGCCGAGTGCCGTGTCGACTGGCTCAAGTCCCCCTTCGGCAATATTAACGTGACCTAATCTATAAAAAAATTATCGAGATTTTGTGGGGGAGGATGGGGGTAGCACCAAGAGTTTTCATCTCTCAAGCTCACATACTGGATTTCATCTTGTATACCGGGGGGAAAAGGGGGGGGGGGGTTGATGAGCTTTATCTTGTATCCGGGTACACTCATATCCTGTTACTTATGTAACTACCCTTGTGGGTGTTTTTTTTTTAAAGTAATAATTTGTACTTCTCTGTTGTGGTTATTGCCCTCCCAGCGGCTTTAACAAAATCTGTTGGGATGGTGAGGGTTAGTGAGTTATTGTAGTTAATATTGTCATTAGAGTTAGATTGTTGGAGAGGAGCAGGTGAAGTGGTCAAGCTGTTTGCTTTGCATGCTGAAGGTCATGGGTTCGTTTCGCTAGTGTGCTGTTTAGTTAAGAGGTGTAATTTTTAAGGAGGTCCCTGGGGATCATCACTAAAGCTCTCTGAGGAGAGAGACCTATCTGTATGGGATAAAACCTAGCCAGTGAAGTCAGTCTTCATAGGGGAGAATTGCCTTATAATGCTGTAGTATATGTATCGATCACTCCTCAGGCTGTTTGCGGTATTGATCATACAATTACTTTTCTGTGGTGAAATGTACATTTTTGCTAGCACTTCCATTGTCTTAAGTATATCAGTATGTTCCTTCAGTTGTTGTTTATTACTGTGGGTGTCTCCTTCAGGTGCTGCAGCAGTGAGAGCAGCAAGTCTGCTGGCTGATGTTCACACTGAGACATCAGCATCGTCAGCAGCAGCGCGACCGTCAGCACACACCAGGACACCATCACATACAAATCTTGCACCATCATCATCATCATCATCTTCAAAGGTACTACCTTTACATTTTCTTCTTCCTCCTTTTCCCCCTAGCTTTCCATAACAGTAACATTTGCACATTACTGCAAGCATTCTTTGTTGCAAGTCAAGTCTTTGTCTCTGTTACAAGTATAGTATTTGCTAAAGTGATCATTTTTGCAAGTAAAGGCTGTAATTTGTTACATACACAGTATTTGTAACAGGTACCAGTTTGTATTTTTTAATTATTATTTTTTTTCAATTTTGTTACAAGTGCAGGGTTTGTTACAAGCATTTTTTGTTTGTTTTAAATACAAGCGCAGTCTGTCTTACAAGCATGGAAAAATAAATCTATATGCAGGTATCCTCCAAAATGTGGGTATCATTTATTTTCTAGATCTCTTTTTACCATACTTAAGTGGAATACTGAACACCAGTGGGTTTTATCTAGAGAGCAGCAGTGTTAGCTGTTCAAGTAAAAACCATGGAAATTAATCTGAAAAGATGTAAAGTACCTTTTTTTATCTTCGTACAAATAAAAACCTTACATAAGACAGGGATATGAGCTACAGAGAAAGCACATCAGCAACTACGGTCTCAAACTGGACGATAGTTAGCAAGCTACCACTCTACCCTGCATACCATCCGTGACTAATGGTGTTAGTTGTGCTGATAACAGTGATCTATTCTCTTTCTGTAGGTTACCACTAAAGAAGTTGCTGCCTCAAAGTCTGAGAAAGAGCCAGAAGAAAATGTCCCAGTGAAAACCCCACTGAAGAGAAAGTCCACAAGCCTAAGCTCAGTTTCCAGCACGTCATCAACGGTGACAGGAGAAAAGTCTGCCCTCAAACGCACCAAAAGTAAGTGTCTTGCCTCAGTTCCTATTCATGGCAATGTTTATTTTTTTGGGTGGGAACATGTTGTCAGAGCAGCAAGATGATTGCCTTCTGCCCCAGAGGTCTTGGATTCCAATGTGCATCACACAAGATGTTTTTCAAAAATGACCTTAGCTCCCAGGTCAGGTCAGCTTAAAATGGGTACTAGATAAAGACCTGGGAAGTAAAGGCAGCTGGCCTGATGATGACCACATCACTCATCGAGAACTTATTGGTCCACAAGAACATCATGAGTCTGGTATCACTTACCCCATACACAGCTGGTGCGACAAAGATCTTTCACTGAATGTTATTTGGGTGTTATGCTTCCCATTGATAAGGTATCTACCCTTGTCTCAGAAGGCTGAATGTTATTTGGGTCTTATGCTTCCCCTTGATAAGGTATCTACCCTTGTCTCTGAAGGCTAAATGTTATTTGGTGTTATGCTTCCCCTTGATAAGGTATCTACCCTTGCCTCAGAAAACTGAATGTTATATGGGTGTTATGCTTCCCCTTGATAAGGTATCTACCCTTGTCTCAGAAGGCTGAATGTTATTTGGTGTTATGCTTCCCCTTGATAAGGTATCTACCCTTGTCTCAAAAGGCTGAATGTTATTTTGGTCTTATGCTTTCCCTTGATAAGGTATCTACCCTTGTCTGAGAAGGCTGAATGTTATTTGGGTGTTATGCTTTCCCTTGATAAGGTATCTACCCTTGTCTGAGAAGGCTGAATGTTATTTTGGTCTTATGCTTTCCCTTGATAAGGTATCTACCCTTGTCTGAGAAGGCTGAATGTTATTTTGGTCTTATGCTTTCCCTTGATAAGGTATCTACCCTTGTCTGAGAAGGCTGAATGTTATTTGGGTGTTATGCTTTCCCTTGATAAGGTATCTACCCTTGTCTCAAAAGGCTGAATGTTATTTTGGTCTTATGCTTTCCCTTGATAAGGTATCTACCCTTGTCTGAGAAGGCTGAATGTTATTTGGGTGTTATGCTTCCCCTTGATAAGGTATCTACCCTTGTCTGAGAAGGCTGAATGTACAAGCAACTACACCAGAATCAGGGGGCCACATGTTAAAAAATAAATAATTATTTAAATCCAAAGGTCAGCAGTATGAGGCAAACTATGTTTACTTTGCCGCTTGCGGTGTAATTAGTGGGGGAAATGCTGAGAGCTACCAGGGGATCTAGCCGACGCTCAACACTCAAGGGACAGGTGAGGCAGGTGTAAACTCAGACAGTTACTGAGACCATTAGAATTGGAACTCTTTGCTTGCTGCTGAAGATAAGGACGGAGTGCTTATGGAAGTGTCCCGAATGCCATGATGTTGATTCTTCATTCAACATTTGAGTGGGAAATCCTATGATGTCACTAGGAGGTTCTCCAATGGGACGGGTCGAGAGTTTGAAGGCCAGTTAGGAAAGGATCAGTGGGAAAGTGTGTCTCAAGGAGGATTGTGAGCTCATGTGAATGAGTGAAGGATTGTAGGAAATCTCTTGAGGGGAAATTAACAGTTTGGCCATGAGAAAGGATTATTCGGTGTAAGACAAGGATGAGAGAAGGTTGTCTGTGTGATTGAAGAGTTGGAGTGAAAAAACTGTTGTGTTAGCAAATACCTGGACAGTGGAACATATCAGCAGTTGACGTCTGCAGACATGTCTGCGAAAATCCTGTGGTGTGTACTCAAGTAAATAGGCATGAATGTGAACCCTCATGTTATAAGTAGTTTAACAGTTTTGATGATGTGATTTGAGAGTATTTTCTGTAACCAGTTAACCCTAGACGCTGATCAACTAACGGCGTTTGCACCTGTTTGAATTACTCAATAAACAACATCTATTTCATCGTGACTTTCCTGTTGGTACAGTCAGAGTGGTGGGACACCAAGACTTTGTGATTTCCGACTGTAACAAAGAAGATAAACAGCAACAACATTACAGGCAGATGTTTGAACATCTGAATCACTTGGTCCTCTTTGTTATTGCTTGTTTATCGTCATCTTGTTTATTTTCCTATCATATTTTTACATTGTCATCTGAACTCAAGTAATGTTTCCGCACTTTTAATATTTCTTGGAAATCACTTGTTCTCATGTTACATTGTTGATGTCCTTCCAGCCGAACCAGCCACACCTTCAGCAGCTAAATCCTTCAGTCAGCTCATGGAAGGAGTTGTCTTTGTACTCAGTGGCTTCCAGAACCCCTACAGAAGTCAGCTGCGGGACCAGGCTCTGGAGATGGGAGCCAAATATCGGCCTGACTGGGGCAGAGGCTGCACACATCTGGTGTAAGTTGGGGGGTCTGGATTTTCTTTCTGTTGTACCTTGTTGGTTATGAGTGGGAGGACATAAATGGGCTTCTACAGATTGCCTCCCCATAGGGGGGGGGGGGGGGGATGGACCCATTGCCCCCTACCCCTTCCCTCCCAGTTGGAAAAGGTGACTAATTAGAGTTTTTCCTTCATAGTCAGAGAGCATTTGCTGGAGAGGCAAGGAACCAACAGTCTGCAAGCAGATAAGCCAGATCTGTAAAACAAAACAGATGTGCATGAAACACTCAAATTCTCAGACAAGACCATAGTCCAGAAATGGATAAACAAACTACTTTCTGCCAGATTTTACAGCCGGTGAGCAATAAGAAGAAGTAGAAAGAAGAACTGGTTGATTAGAAGTGACTACCAGGTTCTCTGGATACACCCGTGGTTACACTGGAAATAGGTAGCTAATGATGGGGGGATAGGGGTTAAAAAAAGAGGGGTAGGGCAGCTTTCAGCTCGTAGTGTTGCGTCAAGCACTCAACTCAGCGGTACCACCAACCGGAAATGTCAGGTTTATAGCTTTTCAGGGCAGCAGTGTTAACCAGATTTCTTGTGCCCTTATAGTGAAATGTTCATACGTGGCTGCTCCAGGATGCACTGCCACATATCCGCCAACCTGAACGGTTTTGATTCATGATAACATGGACATGTTGATGTTCTACACGCTGATGTTAGTTATTGGGACTGTCTAAGATATTTTAACATGTGTCCAGAAGCCAGAGCTCCGTGGCTTGTTCAGTCAGCATTTATGATTCAAAATTTCTGGACCATGAGGAATTGTTGGGCTGGTGAATGTTTATATGGTTTCATTAGTTTAGTGGTACTTCAGGCACTCCAGTCTGGAAAATTACCAAGCATACAGACACTATTATCCGAACTAGGCAACCGTTGTAATTTAGTAATGCAGTGGATGCCTTCCCACTGTGGAGTTCCCGGAAACGAAAAAGCTGATCAACTAGCTAAGGAAGGTGTAACTGAAGAAAACCTGACATACCAAGTCTCTTATCAACAGAAGAAGAGAATGATCAAATCAAACAGAATGCCACCGAAACTGGCACAAGATGATTACCATATTATGGACAGACCAGAGCATGTCATTATCCTTCGCCTTAGAACAGGGCACAATGGACTTCGCTGCTACATGTACAAACAAATTTAAGGTCGGCCAACCAGCCATGTGTACCTGTGGACTGGCACCTGAGACAACAGATCACATCCTCCAACAGTCCCAGATTCAATGCTTCCAGGCAAAACTTCTGGCCAAAAGAGACACTTGTGGATGTCAAACTTTACGGGCCGCTTAGTGAATTAAAAAAGACAGTGAAATTCATACTAGAGACAGCATTGCAGATATAGATATTTTTTTTCATGAGAACGAAAGAAGAATAATTAGTTTAGTGTTTCTGTTCATTCAGCTAGTTCATTCACATGACTATCTTTAACTTTATTCAATCTTGTATTTTCTGTATCAATTTCAGTGTTTCTGTTTATTCAGCCAGTTCATTTGTATGACTATCTTTAACTTGATTCATACTTGTATATTCTGTATTGATTTAATTGTTTCTGTTTATTCATCCAGTTTATTCATATGACTATCTTAAACTTGATTCAATCTTGTATATTCTGTATTGATTTCTGTGTTTCTGTTCATTCAGCCAGTTCATTTGTATGACTATTTTTAACTTGATTCATACTTGTATATTCTGTATTGATTTCATTGTTTCTATTAATTCAACCAGGTCATTCATAATGCTTTCTTTGACTTAATCCATGCTTATTTAAACTGTTTTGATTTCAGCTGTGCTTTCCCCAATACACCCAAATACCAGCAAGTTGCTGGCAAGGGAAAGATAGTCACCAAGGCATGGATTATAGACTGCTACAAGAACAAGAAACTGTTGCCGTGGCGCAAGTGAGTTCACTTTTCCTCAGCATGTGTGGGGAATTCAGTTAACTGTAAATATAGCCGGAATGTTTGGTTTTTTTTAAAACTAGACCTTGGCTCTCAGGTCAACCCAGCCTTAAATTGGTACCAGGTAAAGTTGTGGGAAGTAGAGATGGCTGACGTGATGTTGATCATATCGCCCACTGAGGGCTGATTTGTGTATAAAAACATAATTCTAGCAGTGTATGCATGTGACACCATACCATACAAAGCATACATGGAAAGAGAAGAAGGACGTAGAGCACGAGGTAGACCAAGAACAAGATGGAAGCATAACATCAGAGAAACTCTACAATAGCACGATGTGCCTATGGTCGAGGCGGCCAGAAGAGCTAGAAACAGAATTTCCCTCGACACCCACAGCAATAAAAGAGCAAGTGAAGAAGAAGAAGAAGTGTATGCATGATGCACCATTGGTGTGTAAAGGGACCTTGACTGACTTGAAACAGTAAATGTGGCATGCAGTTGTCGATAGTGACGTCAGGAACCCGATTTGTTGTCTGTGGTTTTAATTGGCAGATTTACTGTCAGTAATTTGCCATGAAAAGGTCAGTGCTTATACATACCATTGTTGAAATCAATGCAACAGTCTTCTGCTAAATTACCTGCAGCTGAATTGAACCCAGTATTTCAGGGTTATGAAACTGCAAACCTAAACCACAGACTCAGAGTTTAAAAGAGGCCAGAATGTTACTAGATAAACTTATGACAGTTACTTTTGAAAGAAGAATGTGAACATTACAGACCTCTTATCTCCCAACAGAGCATAATGCTCTTAATAAATTTAATTATGAGAAAGTGTAACACTCAAGGAAAAGTAGATCAGCGAGCTTCACAGTATAACATACATAAACAAAACGCGAACGTTGCGACTATAGAGCCTTTATCAGCACATACATAAATCAAACAAAACCACACGAACACACACAATCACTTAACTGAGTATCCAGAAGCAGCCAAGTTGATGTCTTGCCAGTGGAATAAGAAGACAGTGTGAGTCCCAAAAATAAATAGCTGTGGTATGTCATAGAATGCCATTGAAACTATTAATAAGCTTAGATTTTGAAAAGCAGTCATTTTTAATTTAAAGGAAAAAAAAGGACACAAGTTCAGAGTTTCTTTTCTGTTTCACTTGTTTGTTTATTTCTTGTAAATGATCCTAGTTACCGTTTGGGAGATGCTGACTCGCCAGATGAAAGCAGTGATGAAGAGAAAGTCAGCAGCCAGCCAAAGAGGCAGGATAAGAAGGCAACTCCCCAGGCTTCACCAGCACAGAGCACCTCATCTCATAAAGAGACAAAACCTCCTATTAAAACAGGTAAACATGTGGCCAGTATTTGGGCCATTCTGTTGTGACCTTTCATGTTGGAATTCTCCTGTAAGTTAATCAGTTTATATGTGACTGGTGATCAGTTCATGTGTTTCTAAACTGACCAGCCGACCTAACAGTAAAGGACCCTGTTCCTAACCTGCAGGCATATTGGGCTTATTGTACTAGGTTAATATTTTATAGACCAATCGGCACTCATTGTGTAATTTAGTCATCCTTGACAATTGTGTGTTTGTTTCAATCACTGTTGGATTATCTGTATTTGTTAACACTGTTGGATTATCTGTATTTGTTACCACTGTTGGATTATCTGTATTTGTTAACTCTGTTTAATTATCAGTATTTGTTACCACTGTTGGATTGTATTTATTTGTTACCACTGTTGGATTGTATTTATTTGTTACCACTGTTGGATTGTATTTATTTGTTACCGCTGTTTGATTATCTGTATTTGTTACCACTGTTGGATTATACTTATTTGTTACCACTGTTATATTGTATTTATTTGTTACCACTGTTGGATTGTATTTATTTGTTACCACTGTTTGATTATCTGTATTTGTTACCACTGTTTGATTCTCTGTATTTGTTACCACTGTTTGATTCTCTGTATTTGTCACCACTGTTTGATTCTCTGTATTTGTTACCACTGTTTGATTCTCTGTATTTGTCACCACTATTTGATTCTCTGTATTTGTTACCACTGTTTGATTCTCTGTATTTGTTACCACTGTTTGATTCTCTGTATTTGTCACCACTGTTTGATTCTCTGTATTTGTCACCACTGTTTGATTCTCTGTATTTGTCACCACTGTTTGATTCTCTGTATTTATCACCACTGTTTGATTCTCTGTATTTGTTACCACTGTTTGATTCTCTGTATTTGTCACCACTGTTTGATTATCTGTATTTGTCACCACTGTTTGATTCTCTGTATTTGTTACCACTGTTTGATTCTCTGTATTTGTCACCACTGTTTGATTATCTGTATTTGTCACCACTGTTTGATTCTCTGTATTTGTCACCACTGTTTGATTATCTGTATTTGTTACCAATGTTTGATTATCTGTATTTGTTACCACTGTTTGATTATCTGTATTTGTTACCACTGTTTGATTCTCTGTATTTGTCACCACTGTTTGATTCTCTGTATTTGTCACCACTGTTTGATTCTCTGTATTTGTCACCAATGTTTGATTCTCTGTATTTGTTACCACTGTTTTATTATCTGTATTTGTTACCACTTTTTGATTCTCTGTATTTGTTACCACTGTTTGATTATACTTATTTGTTACCACTGTTATATTGTATTTATTTGTTACCACTGTTGGATTGTATTTATTTGTTACCACTGTTTGATTATCTGTATTTGTTACCACTGTTTGATTCTCTGTATTTGTCACCACTGTTTGATTCTCTGTATTTGTTACCACTGTTTGATTCTCTGTATTTGTCACCACTGTTTGATACTCTGTATTTGTTACCACTGTTTGATTCTCTGTATTTGTTACCACTGTTTGATTCTCTGTATTTGTCACCACTGTTTGATTCTCTGTATTTGTCACCACTGTTTGATTCTCTGTATTTGTCACCACTGTTTGATTCTCTGTATTTATCACCACTGTTTGATTCTCTGTATTTGTTACCACTGTTTGATTCTCTGTATTTGTCACCACTGTTTGATTATCTGTATTTGTCACCACTGTTTGATTCTCTGTATTTGTTACCACTGTTTGATTCTCTGTATTTGTCACCACTGTTTGATTATCTGTATTTGTCACCACTGTTTGATTCTCTGTATTTGTCACCACTGTTTGATTATCTGTATTTGTTACCAATGTTTGATTATCTGTATTTGTTACCACTGTTTGATTATCTGTATTTGTTACCACTGTTTGATTCTCTGTATTTGTCACCACTGTTTGATTCTCTGTATTTGTCACCACTGTTTGATTCTCTGTATTTATCACCACTGTTTGATTCTCTGTATTTGTTACCACTGTTTTATTATCTGTATTTGTTACCACTTTTTGATTCTCTGTATTTGTTACCACTGTTTGATTATACTTATTTGTTACCACTGTTAGATTGAATTTATTTGTTACCACTGTTGGATTGTATTTATTTGTTACCACTGTTAGATTATCTATATTTGTTACCGCTGTTTGATTCTCTGTATTTATCACCACTGTTTGATTCTCTGTATTTGTTACCACTGTTTGATTCTCTGTATTTGTCACCACTGTTTGATTATCTGTATTTGTCACCACTGTTTGATTCTCTGTATTTGTTACCACTGTTTGATTCTCTGTATTTGTCACCACTGTTTGATTATCTGTATTTGTCACCACTGTTTGATTCTCTGTATTTGTCACCACTGTTTGATTATCTGTATTTGTTACCAATGTTTGATTATCTGTATTTGTTACCACTGTTTGATTATCTGTATTTGTTACCACTGTTTGATTCTCTGTATTTGTCACCACTGTTTGATTCTCTGTATTTGTCACCACTGTTTGATTCTCTGTATTTGTCACCAATGTTTGATTCTCTGTATTTGTTACCACTGTTTTATTATCTGTATTTGTTACCACTTTTTGATTCTCTGTATTTGTTACCACTGTTTGATTATACTTATTTGTTACCACTGTTATATTGTATTTATTTGTTACCACTGTTGGATTGTATTTATTTGTTACCACTGTTTGATTATCTGTATTTGTTACCACTGTTTGATTCTCTGTATTTGTCACCACTGTTTGATTCTCTGTATTTGTTACCACTGTTTGATTCTCTGTATTTGTCACCACTGTTTGATACTCTGTATTTGTTACCACTGTTTGATTCTCTGTATTTGTTACCACTGTTTGATTCTCTGTATTGTGTCACCACTGTTTGATTCTCTGTATTTGTCACCACTGTTTGATTCTCTGTATTTGTCACCACTGTTTGATTCTCTGTATTTATCACCACTGTTTGATTCTCTGTATTTGTTACCACTGTTTGATTCTCTGTATTTGTCACCACTGTTTGATTATCTGTATTTGTCACCACTGTTTGATTCTCTGTATTTGTTACCACTGTTTGATTCTCTGTATTTGTCACCACTGTTTGATTATCTGTATTTGTCACCACTGTTTGATTCTCTGTATTTGTCACCACTGTTTGATTATCTGTATTTGTTACCAATGTTTGATTATCTGTATTTGTTACCACTGTTTGATTATCTGTATTTGTTACCACTGTTTGATTCTCTGTATTTGTCACCACTGTTTGATTCTCTGTATTTGTCACCACTGTTTGATTCTCTGTATTTATCACCACTGTTTGATTCTCTGTATTTGTTACCACTGTTTTATTATCTGTATTTGTTACCACTTTTTGATTCTCTGTATTTGTTACCACTGTTTGATTATACTTATTTGTTACCACTGTTAGATTGAATTTATTTGTTACCACTGTTGGATTGTATTTATTTGTTACCACTGTTAGATTATCTATATTTGTTACCGCTGTTTGATTCTCTGTATTTATCACCACTGTTTGATTATCTGTATTTATCACCACTGTTTGATTCTCTGTATTTGTCACCACTGTTTGATTCTCTGTATTTGTCACCACTGTTTGATTCTCTGTATTTATCACCACTGTTTGATTATCTGTATTTGTTACCAGTTTGATTCTCTGTATTTGTCACCACTGTTAGATTCTCTGTATTTGTCACCACTGTTTGATTATCTGTATTTGTTACCACTGTTTGATTCTCTGTATTTGTTACCACTGTTTGATTATCTGTATTTGTCACCACTGTTTGATTCTCTGTATTTGTCACCACTGTTTGATTCTCTGTATTTGTCGCCACATTTTGATTCTCTGTGTTTGTTACCACTGTGTGATTCTCTGTTTTTGTCACCACTGTTTGATTATCTGTATTTGTAACCACTGTTTGATTCTCTGTATTTGTAACCACTGTTTGATTCTCTGTCCCCGACTGGTAGCCGTGACCTATGATGACAGTGATTCAGGAGGTGACACAGAGGATGAGCTTCGCAAGTAAGTCTTCTTTTTTATTTTCATGCTTCCATCTTCGCCTCTTTCATTTTTCATTGTTTCTTCTCCTGTTAGTTTTTGTTTTACTTGCTCCTTATGTCCACAGACACTGCATGAAAAAACACATACACATACTTCTGTCACACATTGTGTGTGGTTTACAGATATTAGGTTGATTGATACAAACATTGTATGATTGGTTCCATTATAAATAAAAAATTAACATCAGATGCAGTGAAGCAAGTTAAGTATTGGGACAGATAGCCGCCCTCTTACAGCATAAGGCAGTGCAGATCAGCGCAAAGAAACATCTCTTATAAAGAATATTCATTGCCATTCTGTGACTTTAGCAGTTCATTTTTCTGGCCACCATCAGAGCATCTTACCTTCTCGTATCTCACCATCAATATTTTTTTGAGGAAGCTGGTTGTCTGGAAAGGGGACTAGATTACCTGCCCATCAAATGTGTGACTGCCTCAGCATGGTATCAATGCTAGGAATACTGTCTCTATCCTGTAGGACAGTCAGCAGACCTTGTCTTGCCACTTGGTGTGCAGTATCTTTGAATCTGTGACTGCCTAAGCATGGTATCAGTGCTAGGAATACTGTCTCTATCCTGTAGGACAGTAAGCAGACCTTGTCTTGCCACTTGATGTGCAGTATCTTTGAATCTGTGACTGCCTCAGGACGGTATCAGTGCTAGGAATACTGTCTCTATCCTGTAGGACAGTAAGCAGACCTTGTCTTGCCACTTGATGTGCAGCATCTTTGAATCTGTGACTGCCTCAGGTTTTTATATGTGCTAGAAATACTGACTCTATCCTGTAGGACAGTCAGCAGACCTTATCTTGTCACTTGATGTGCTATATCTGTGAATTCCTCAGGATGGTATCAGTGCTAGAAATACTGGCTCTATCCTGTAGGACAGTAAGCAGACCTTATCTTGTCACTTGATGTGCTATATCTGTGAATACCTCAGGATGGTATCAGTGCTAGAAATACTGGCTCTATCCTGTAGGACAGTAAGCAGACCTTATCTTGTCACTTGATGTTCAGTATCTGCATTAGCCTGCATGGATGTGGTTGAGCTTCTAGGCCTGACGACTGTATACAGTCCCTTGTTTCCTTCACCACAACACTTGATGTGGTAGCTGATATCAGTTTCTTATCTCCATCATGAAAAGCATCAGACAGCACAGCTAAGACACATAATGCTGAATAGAGTAGGTGTGAGTACACACCCTTGTTTCACACCATTTGGTTAAGATAGTTCTCCTTTATCCCAGATTCTAGCTTGCATTCCATTATGCATTTACTGTACAGTCATAAAAATTTCTTTGGGCAGCCATATTTTGCCATGATCTCCCATAGACCCTTTATGCTGACTGAATTGAACACTATTGTCCAGTCAATAAAAGCCGTAAACAAATCTTATTGTTGTCCTGACATTTTTCCTGCCTCTCAGTGAACACCATGTCTGTGGTTGCACGCTCTTTCCAGAATCTACACTGGCTTTCAGGTAGCGGGCCTCCATTAACATGTGTTGTAAGATTTAGGAGTTTTCTTGCACATATTTTGCCTGCAATTGCCAGCACGGAGATGCCCAGTGATTGTTGGATTGACAGCAGGGAGATGCCCAATGATTGTTGCAGTCCTAGCCGTTGCCTTTCCATTTCTATACATGTATAATTGATGCGTCCTGGAGTTCTTGTTGGATGATTTCATTTGAATCCACTCAGTGCTACTAGTGCAGACATGGTCACTCATAATGAACAGTAAAAGAACAAAATAGTAGTCACAGAAAAGAGATGTCTTAGAAGGGCTGCAGAATGACCAGAAGAGATCAAATAAAAAATTCAATCATAAAAAAAAAAAGTTGACACAGAACCAATTCTAAATTACATACAAAGACAGTAAAACAATGGTTTGCCAAATTAGAGAGAATGCTTTCTGACAGCACACCATACAAGGCATACACCAAAAGAGGAGAAGGACGCAGAGCACAAGGTAGACCAAGATCAAGATGGAAAGATAACATCAGAGAAACTCTACAACAGCACGATGTGTCTGTGGTTGGCGACTAGAAGAGCATGGAACAGAACCTTATATTTCCTTTGACATCCACAGAGTGACAGAGGAAGTGTAGATGTAGTAGTTTCCATTTTATATCTTAAAAACAGTTAGTTGTGTATCCTTTACAGGATATTGCAAACTAACCCCAGCATTTGTTGGCTTTTGTGATTTTGCCAGGCAGTTTTTTTTTTATCCAGTAATTTGTGGAAGCCAGTCCTTAAGAAAGAGAATGGGGGCTTTTGAGCTGAAATGCTATAGCTAGATTCTCAGAATATCTTGGACAAAGAAGAGGAGAAATACTGACATCAAGGAAGATTGGCTGATAAACAGCATCCTGTCTCGGAAGCTGAAATATAATATAATATCAAGCTCCACGACGGATTGGAAAAAATTATAGCAGGAGGCATGGTAATAGGAAGGAGAAGCAGAGACCGACCAACACAAAGATGGGCGCAGGATATAAGTGACTCCTTGAGTATGAAAGTACATGAGGCGGAAGAACTGGTGAAAAACCGAGTTTCTTTCAGGCAAACCATGATGAGAGCTGCGTTCTCCAAAGGACCTACTACATGATGATGATGATGAATTTACAGTTGCTTCCTGAGCGGTCGACTTTAACCCATTGTTTGATGTTCAGTAAAGATAATCTGTGGATTAACTAACAGTTCATAGTCCTGAAGCCAAAGACGTAACAATTCTGGCCTCTTCATAACAGGAAGTAAAACTGTAACAAAGGAAATAAATGGGAAGTTGGCATGTATTAAAAATATGTTTCAGAGAAAAATAAAAAATTGTGTTACATATTTTTTTAGGATTGACGAGAAAGAGGAAAGAGATAAAGCCAAAGAAAATATTTCTGCAACAACAGAGGATGACCCTTACGGAAATTCCACAGACGAGGATGATCTGCAGTTGTCTAAACCCGCATCCATGAACAGCGTTAATCAGGGTGACGGATCAGATTCTGGATTGCCAGACCTTCCAGATTTTTTCAGTGACAAACATTTTTTCTTCTATGGAGACTTAGACCCAGGAGAGCAGAGATTGTTGACGAGGTACATCGCAGCCTACAATGGGTATGTTCAACTTTCGCTGTCAGTGATTCATCTGTTGTTTTCCCTCCATGCTATTCTAAAAATGATTTTCATATTGTAGTTTTGTCGTCTAGCATGTCCCTTTACCAAACATTACTCCTGTCACAGCCTACCTGAAAGACATTTGTCAGCTCTCCCGCCTCATACACTTACTTGCCCACCTCATACACTTACCTGCCCACCTCATACACTTACCTGCCCACCTCATACACTTACCTGCCCACCTCATACACTAACCTGCCCACCTCATACACTTACTTACCTGCCCACCTCATACACTTACCTGCCCACCTCATACACTTACCTGCCCACCTCATACACTTACCTGCCCACCTCATACACTTACCTGCCCACCTCATACACTTACCTGCCCACCTCATACACTTAACTGCCCACCTCATACACTCACCTGCCCACCTCATACACTCACCTGCCCACCTCATACACTTACCTGCCCACCTCATACACTTACTTGCCCACCTCATACACTTAACTGCCCACCTCATACACTTACCTGCCCACCTCATACACTTACCTGCCTACCTCATACACCTACTGCCCACCTCATACACTTACCTGCCTACATCATACACTTACCTACCCACCTCATACACTTACTGCCCACCTCATACACTTACCTGCCTACCTCATACACTTACCTGCTCACCTCATACACTTACCTGCCTACCTCATACACTTACCTGCCTACCTCATACACTTACCTGCCCACCTCTTACATTTACTTACCTGCCTACCTCATACACTTACCTGCCCGCGACATCACTTTTGTTCTGTTCCCACCTTTATGCAGGTCATTTCCTGTTCAGCATCATCTGGTTGTTCTTTTTTTTTTAAATTTTATGTTTTATAATAAACAAACTGGATTGGGATCTATCATGTTAAGAACAAATTCCTTTCCTCTGAGTCACAAAATAGCAGCACAGACTTTCTCTACATATTGAGGTAGTATAGCTCAGGTCTGTGTGAGAAAATGAACTAGAGACTGTTAAAAAACACAGACTGTCTTAAAGGAAGCAGCTTACAAAATGTGACTAGTTATCACTAAAGATAAGGCAGAATACATGATAATGTCAAGACAGGGAAAGGATATAAACTCCAGCCACATACAAATTAATTATATGAAATTGAAACGAACAGAAACAAAAAAGTACTTGGGTGCAAACTTCAACTGCTTCAACATGCTGAGAGAAGAAATACAATTTATAATACAATCTGGTAATAAAGTAAACTATGCCCTTCATTTGCTAAAGAACCTCTGCCTCGCAACACCAAGATCAAAATATATAAATTGTTGATGAGACCAGTCTCTTTATGTGGCTCTGAAACTTGGAGCACAACTAAAAGAGATGAAGCCTTATTACACATAATAGTCTTATGAGGAATCTTTAGACCCATCAAACAGTGGGGAATGGAGAGTAAGAAGCAACAACAAAATTCATGATCTGTTTAAATCACCATTGATCACTGTCATCAAGAGAGCTTATAGACTGAAATGGCTTGGGCATATTGAGAGAATGTCAGATAGGTAAAAGCTGTATACACTTGAGAGCTGAATGGTCATGGACCACAAGGCAGACTTACAAACACTTGTAACCATCCGGACAGAGACGGCCAACCAGAGAGATAGATAAACGGAGGCAGGTAATGTTTGCAGCAATAAACCTCAAGGGCTTGTAATGCTGAAGAAGAAGTAGCCTGCTGACTAGTGGTTTCAATCCTTAGGCAATTTTTATAAAGTGAGTTAAGTCACTGGGCTCTTCTGGGAAGTAAAGGCATGTGTAACAGTGTGTGAGATAAGCTGTCACATTTTACCAAACTAAAGATCCATGTTTACTTGTCTTGCAGTGAGGTGGAGGATTACATGAGCAAGAAAGTCAACTTTGTTGTCACCACACAGAAGTGGGATGACAACTTTCACCAGGTGGGTGTTGTGTGGTTGCTTCCATTCTTCTTACACTCCCATCACACTAGTCAAATGTAAAGGGCCTAACTTCCTGCCATGAGGCTGGGGTATATGCTGCTAGTTCCAATATTGAAGGAACCAACAGAGTTGGTTTTTTTTTCAAAGGGTTAAGAATTGGGCACACAGACCTGTTTAATATTCTGCCCTTCCATTCTCACTCATTGTATGAAAATAAACATTTTTAGCGGTATCTGTCTCAGTTACAAATGCTGGAATGTGCTCTAAGTATACTTACATTACTAAAATAAATAAATTTAGTACTTAAAGTATTGTTTAGACTACAAGGTGTACAATCACTTGTTTGTCAGAATAGCCTGGGGCGATACAGATTCTGTTGTACTTAAAGTATTGTTTCGGCTGTGTACAATCACTTGTTTGTCAGTATGGCCTGGGGCACAGACAGACTAGACTTTTTAGATCATCTCTGATCTTGAGGTAAAAGAGAAATGATTAAGTAAAATCTGAGTTGTTTTATAGTAAATGAGTCACTGTAGTAACCACTTGTGTAGGAAATAACTGGACGAGGTTTCAGTGTCTGATCAATTGCTCTCTAATTCTGTCTTTGTCTCATTTTATTTTTTTCTCTTCTTTTAGCTCTCTCCCTCTCATTTTATAATGCCCCCCCCCCCCCCCCCCACATTTTCCAGTGTGGCTCTGGAGCCCATTGTGGGAAAGAACAAGAATAGTCCCACTGCCTCTCTGCCAAGCATGTCCTAAGAGTTGACTAATTAAGGGGTCGCCTTCAAAGTCGGGAGTGCATCTAGCTGAGAGGCAAGGTACCAACAGTCTGCAAACAAATAAACCAGATCTTTGCAGCGGATGTGCATGTAACACTGGTACAAGACACAAATCTGCAGACTGATGACCAACCAGAACTTTCTGCCGGAGTTTACAGCCAGTGAACATGAAGAAGACATCTCCCTCTCTTCTCATTCTCTCATTTTTTTTCTCTCCCTCATTTCACTGACATTACTCTTTGTTTTGGCTCACAGGCAGTCACAGAAAACCCACAGTTGATATTTGTCAAACCTACCTGGATCAAGGTGTGCCATGAAAGCGACAAACTCCAGCCTTACCAGCCTCATATTGTGGTGCCTTAAACTCTGTTAGCAAACAAATGCACTACACCAGAAACTAACACTTGTACCTGATACACTTGTACCTTCAAGGATAGGAACACTGATACACTTATACCTTCAAGGATAGGAACACTGATACACTTATACCTTCAAGGATAGGAACTCTGATACACATATACCTTCAAGGATAGGAACACTGATACACTTATACCTTCAAGGATAGGAACTCTGATACACTTATACCTTCAAGGGTAGGAACACTGATACACTTATACCTTCAAGGATAGGAACACTGATACACTTATACCTTCAAGGATAGGAACACTGATACACTTATACCTTCAAGGATAGGAACACTGATACACTTAAACCTTCAAGGATAGGAACTCTGATACACTGCATAAAACATGGCACTTATACCTTCAATGATAGGAACACTGATACACTTATACCTTCAATGATAGGAACACTGATACACTTAAACCTTCAAGGATAGGAACTCTGATACACATATACCTTCAAGGGTAGGAACACTGATACACATATACCTTCAAGGGTAGGAACACTGATACACTTATACCTTCAAGGGTAGGAACACTGATACCTTCAAGGATAGGAACACTGATACACTTTTACCTTCAAGGATAGGAACACTGATACACTTATACCTTCAAGGATAGGAACACTGATAAACTTATACCTTCAAGGGTAGAAACACTGATACCTTCAAGGATAGGAACACTGATACACTTTTACCTTCAAGGATAGGAACACTGATACACTGCACAAAACATGGCACTTATACCTTCAAGGATAGGAACACTGATACACTGCACAAAACATGGCACTTATACCTTCAAGGATAGGAACACTGATACACTGCACAAAACATGGCACTTATACCTTCAAGGATAGGAACACTGATACACTGCTCAAAACATATCTCAGCCAGAAGGATAGGAATGCTGATACACTGCACAAAACATGGCTCAGCCAGAAGGATAGGAACACTAATACAATGCACAAAACATGGCTCAGCCAGAAGGATATGAATGCTGATACAATGCACAGCCACTTCTTGGAGAGTTTAGATTTGTTTTATTGACAATTGTTCTTTTCACATTAATGATACACTGAGACAATTTTTATGCATAACTTGTGTATTGTTAACTGAGATTTGTATGTGATTTTTGTGTTCGAAGACAAATTTACATTTCTGAAAATTTGTTTGTTTGTTTGTGTGAGAGAGATAATTAGCAAACTTTGTTTTTACATTGGGGGGGGGGGGGGGGGGGGGGGGGGGGGGGGGGGTTACTCGGGTCCATCTTATATACTGCTCTTCCAACCACTTGTATAAGTACTTAGTTAACAATATATAAGTATTCTGTAGAGAGGGACAATATGTATATTCAGACTAAGGACAGGGCACAACAGACTTCATCATCACATGTTCAAGTTTTGCAGTGTAGGAAACAAGTGTCCCCGCAACTTGGCACCACAAAATGCTGAGCATGTGCTCCAACACTATGTGGTACACTGAGAGATCTGGACTATGTGGTACACTGTGAGATCTGGACTATGTGGTACACTGAGAGATCTAGACTATGTGGTACACTGTGAGATCTGGACTATGTGGTACACTGAGAGATCTGGACTATGTGGTACACTGTGAGATCTGGACTATGTGGTACACTGAGAGATCTAGACTATGTGGTACACTGTGAGATCTGGACTATGTGGTACACTGTGAGATCTGGACTATGTGGTACACTGTGAGATCTGGACTATGTGGTACACTGTGAGATCTGGACTATGTGGTACACTGAGAGATCTAGACTATGTGGTACACTGAGAGATCTGGACTATGTGGTACACTGTGAGATCTGGACTATGTGGTACACTGTGAGATCTGGACTATGTGGTACACTGTGAGATCTAGACTATGTGGTACACTGAGAGATCTAGACTATGTGGTACACTGTGAGATCTGGACTATGTGGTACACTGTGAGATCTGGACTATGTGGTACACTGTGAGATCTGGACTATGTGGTACACTGTGAGATCTAGACTATGTGGTACACTGTGAGATCTAGACTATGTGGTACACTGAGAGATCTAGACTATGTGGTACACTGAGAGATCTGGACTATGTGGTACACTGTGAGATCTGGACTATGTGGTACACTGAGAGATCTAGACTATGTGGTACACTGAGAGATCTAGACTATGTGGTACACTGTGAGATCTGGACTATGTGGTACACTGTGAGATCTGGACTTTGGTACACTGGGAGATCTGGACTGTGTGGTACACTGAGAGATCTGGACTATGTGGTACACTGAGATATCTAGACTGAGTGGTACATTGAGATATCTGGCCTGTGAAATACACTGGGACATCTGGACTGCACAAAAGCTTTCATAAAAGCTGCCGACCTCCTTATACAAGTTTTATGAGAGAAGGATGCACGCTGTGTCTAGTGAATGGGAATAATGAAACATATTTCTGTTCGTAAAGGGAAACCTGTTTTCTTGTGAAGGTCAAAGACAGGAGCTAGGTCTTTGTAGTACGTCACTGTATTTTGTCCCTATCAAAAGTAACAACAATCATCTGTACCCTCCATAAATGTGATGTTCAGGTATTGTTCCTATACACACTACCCTGGCTTTCTAAGCTTGCAGAGGGGCTGGATACTTTGTAACAGTTCCTGTGGGCCAAATATTTGTTTCTTTTAAGATAAAATCTTTTTATTTACAGCCAAAAAATCAAACATTTTAATGTAACTGATCAGTTTCCAATAATTCAACTTTTATGGAAAGCTTACAAGCAATCTTATATTTCTACACCTACTTCTGTGATTAAAAGATCTAAGGAGGGGGGGGGGTGATTGACACCACACCTCTATGGGAAGAGACCTCTGATGGTGAAAATGGAGAAGCACTATAAGGAATCATTTGAAATAAAGTTAGATTATAGTTTGAAATGGACCTCATCCCAGCCTTAATTTCAAGCCTCTACAGCTGGAGGAGCGGCGCCCATGGCTTAGGCGTTGTGAGTCTGAATTGTAATTCCAACATACCGCGATTGAAACCCACTGCTGGCTGCGTGGCTTGTTATCGTGGTTTGGGACATCGCAGGTCGACCCAGCCTGAAATGTGTACTAGGATGGATGTCCTGGGGAAGTAAAGACAGCCGGCATAATGCTGACCACATTACCCACGCAGTGCCAATTGGTCTGTAAAAATATGGGCGCTCTTCCCATATGCCTGATGCACCAAGTGATTTTTATTTACTTTACTTACAGCTGGAGGGTGTGTATCAACCAGTAATCAAATGTGCCATTGCTCTGTTTACGAAAACATGTGTCGTGTATTTCTATTAGACCAAAATTTGTTGCTTTCAAATACAGAACTTACTGGGCAACTCTTCATTAGATTTAAATTGGACTGCATGGTTTATTAACCTTTCTTTCCAGCAAATAATCTCTCCCATTTTCAAGCCACTCACATTGAATAGCCTAATGTTCCTTTTTAATTATCTTTCAACTGTTAAAGCAAAAAATGTTTTTGTCAAATATGGTTTTTAAAACAAAATGTGTGCACACACACACACCACCCTTGCCAACTTAGATGTTTAAGCCACTAGGCCGAGCATTGAGAATGTAACAAAGAGTATTTCATTCATAATGTGAAACATTTCTTTATTTATGAAGTTGAAAACTCAACAGTTCAACATTTATAATACATGCATAAAAGAACTTAAAATCAAATTTTAGTCCAATCTGATAGCCTCGTGAAAAACACTTGGGATTTGCTGTGTCAATCAGTCTGTGCATAAGAAAATAACTGATACATCTGAAGTTCAGAATCTGTTCAATTAAAAAAAAAATCACTCAGTTTCTGCATTCAAATTTATTTTACATTTATCATACAGGCCATTTTATGCACTTATTTAAATGAAAAAATAACCTTTTCAGAAGTAAGAGAGAAAAATGACACAGGTCCAATGTAACAAATGGAATCAAAACTGTTGGCAGGAAGTGATGAATCTGACTATTCTAATGTTTATAATCAAACAGAAAAGTGGTAAAACTAAAGAGAAAATCTTTATCTCCCTTCCAGTTATGCAAATGACATACAAATTTATACATGATTTGTTTAAAACCAAACATTAGTGATTGTCAAGACATGTGAAGCATTGTTTACCAGACCACTCAAATCTCGTCAGTGAATAAACACATTGAAATCTTTGAAATAATTAAGCAGACAAACTGGCACACGACTGACTTAGTTTACACAATTACACTGCACTCAAATGTGTCTCCCCAAAGTTCACACTTATCTTACTATCTCTGCAGCTTGAAATGAGGTGGTCACCGCAAATCTACTTCATTCTTTTTCTTCTTTTGTCCTGCTGATTATGTCGTAAAGTGTCGCAAAGAGCAGTTCAGTATAGTTTCCTTCTTTTGCTAACTGCTCAACTTGTGTTAATGTCACATACTCTCCATCAGTATCTGTCTTGGTCAGCCTCTTGCCGTGTAGCCTGTTGTCTCATGTAGTACTCACTCCATCAGTATCTGTCTTGGTCAGCCTCTTGCCGTGTAGCCTGTTTCCTCATGTAGTACTACTCCATCAGTATCTGTCTTGGTCAGCCTCTTGCCGTGTAGCCTGTTTCCTCATGTACCTGCTGGCTGATTCAATTTAAAATATTATGTTATAATTTTTGAGGAAGGGGGGGGGGGGGCATATGTTCCTTTTAGAGAGTATATAACAAAGTTGTTACAGCAACAACCCTTTATCTGTGTTTATTAGTTTGATTCATTTGTTCACATCATATTTTAACAGTAAATTGTCTTATTTCAGTGTCATGTTTGTGTGTGTGTGTTGTGGTTTGCTTCTCTTCGTTTGCTGATGAAGGCCACTTTGCCACAACACCCTTCATTTCCTGTTATATAATTCAGTAGCAGAATGCCCTTCTCTAAGAAAGAAGTTATGTTACTGTTTCAGCAGCTGAAATGTC